GTGAACTGTTAAAAGGCAACTCGTTAAAAAGGCGGCATCCTAACGGGACTGAAATCAAGTGAGATTAGGCTGCTAATAGAGGGGAATATCCGAGTTCCAGGAAGCAGTTCTGAAGAAAAAGTAACGATCACTGGAACAAGAGGTTTAGTGTCCTGACGTTTCGGATTCCCTCGGGAATCCTTAATCATAGGTAATAGAAGAACAGTCTGAGACATACGCAGATGAAGTGAGATTAGGTTGCACGATAACAAATATGACAACTCTACTCAATGGCTTTTTAGGAATGATTATCAATCTTTAGAAAATCTCTAATTTTTCAGAAATACCGGGCATACCGTACTCGTGACTTGCGTTAGCAGGGTGACAGTAAGTGTGCGTGAGTTAGTCACCGCCGACCCGCATGTGACATGCTTTAACCAGAGGCTCATGTCACCTTGACTACGGCCTCTAATTTCCAGCCCCCATTTGGTCCCCAGACTCTGCTAAGCCACTGCTGTAAGACGGACGGAGACGAAAGTGACTTCGGTATTCAGTTACTTTTCCTTCAGCGTACTACCCATAAAGTTAAACATATCATGACAAGATAAAAAAAAAGTGGATTTGTGAGATAAATTGGTTTGCCTCTGGAGAGATGGTCAGGAACTAATGCATCCACCTAGATTTGCGCATTTGGCAGTATCATTTTGTAATCGGTTCCACTTATGGCCAACTCGATGGCCGCAAATTGGATTCTAGCTCACGGCAGCAAGGGTAAGGCTTGAGTATATTCAGTACTCTAACCACCTGCGCTAGAAAGCCCCGACCGAACGATCCGAATGCAGTCACATTTGGAAGAGCTTTTCTGCTCTACCTACGGCGGAGTAAAAAACACACCGAAACCATCGAATTTTGCCGATGGAGTCTAATGACGTATTAAAACTGTCAAAAGCCTCCTCCTTTTTGTCGTATCAAATACGCCTCCGTTGTGAACATAAACATACCTGACGCTAGATGAAAGTTCATGTGTGTGTTATGTGCAGATGGACTGTTTACTTACGTCAGCCGCTGAGGCGTGCCCCCGCCTTCTACCATTTTGACTTAGTGATGCCATCAAATTAGTGGGTTTTGAAAGAGAGGGTGGATTAGACTGGGTAGAGCTTTACCTCGCGTCCATGAATCCACAAGAACTGTACTGGCTTTCATTATTTTTAATGTTTGAGCCGTTGGCGGGACTGTGCACATTCTTTAGAGCCTATCTTGTAGGTAAACTATCTTAGGAAATGTTTCCCGAAATTCAAAACTTTGTTTCAGATAGAAAGAACTATTGAGATGGCGTTGTAATATTGTTTATGGGACAGCCTGACCTTAATATACTTCAACCATGACAGGATTGTGGCTTTTGAAGGCGGTTCTTTTCGGCATTTTGCAGAAACCGTACCTGCTAAAAGTACTTGAAAGTAATATGAATAGTGTCATTAACATTCGATGCGCTGATAACCTCTTTTATGGAAAAAAAGGCCAAACGAGTCTTCCTAGCATGAATTTTGCTCCAAAGGCTTCTTGTAGCAGGAAAGGCGGCCTCTCTTTTTCGCGATTGCCGAATTATTTTGAACCCCAGCAACCGTCGCAGTTTCGTTCGGGGTCTCCAACCTACAGGCCGCATAATTTCTATTTCTAAAGTCTGACTCGTAAGCGTACAGTATTGTAAGTTCTGCGTGCAACTTGCATGACGAAATTTAAATTAGTAGAGAAGTATGTATTTGGACAGGTTATTCTGATCAACTGAGTGGATTTGATAATAAGAAAGGCTTAATTTGGAAAAATGCCCTGTGAGTGAAAGGTATGGAGCGAAATAGACACTAATTTTGGCTAAATAATGAGCAAGTTTATGTAAAAAATTTCATATGCTATTAGCTACGAGAGAAAAAACTTTTTATTCATATGCATTGCGCTATACCCTCCGCTACTGCGTTATTAAGAAACGGAACGGACAGAAGAATGATAAGTATTTCAAAATCGGCCATATATAACAGATCGTGGAATACGTCCACTTATGCGGATAATAATCTATCATAAAGAGCAAAATATGTCCTTTCATTTCCAGTCCAACTGAATCGTTCATCTTTAGGTACCTTAAAAAATTTGTCAGAAGTCTCCAATTTCATTGTCACACTATCTTGGAAAAAGTTAATATACACAGCTATTCGTCAGCTGAATATCTAATTAAATTACTTTCTAAAGAGGCAACATATTATGCAAAGTTTGTTTATTAATCTCAGGAAAAACAATATCCGAGTTAGCTTGCGGACGTTCCGTATACTTGACACTGCGGTTTGCTTTTTTGAAGACATTTCTAAATATGATCCACATGGCCATCTTCATAAGAACTAATATCCAAAAACTCATTTTTTCGGTAAATACTCTTTATGTTTATCTTATTTTAATGGTTTTTATGTAAACGTCGAACAAAAGCGCAATTTATCAACTTATCAATAAAGACACTGAAAGCGAGCGAAATTGTGCCACACCGTATTGGACGATATTCAATAAACAGTTATTCACTAATGGTAATATGTACAAAATATTTTGACTAAAGTAAAGTTCTTTAATTTTTCAACTTACCAGAATGTTTAAATCTATTGTTCTAATTTATGGCTATTTTTACGGTTCCAGAACTTAGGGGTTATTGAGATATTTTTATTTTTCTTAACAAACACTTAGTTCTTCTTATATTTCTTTAAGTTTTAAATTTGCCTATTGTTCTTCATTATTATTTCTAAGTTTTCATAAATGCATTTGCGCGGGTATGTGAGTAATGATCAAACTTTTACAAACTCAGGCATGTTGCATGCAGCCCTCGCAGCACCGTACACATAAATCTGTCGGATTCTAAAAGCAATAGACCTTCGCGGAGAAGAGTTAATAGACTACCTGATAGGCAAGGCGAACAACAGGGCTTACATCTCCTTGACCAGTGGAAATGCCGCAGTGCCCTGTAGGCATTAGTTATCACCATCTTGACATATTTTTACTAAAGGAATTGTAGTTATTTTTCCCAAAACAGCCTGCATTTTGGGTATCGCACAATCTGTTCTCTAATTTTGATTCCGTATAGTAATGAAAATAATGTGTCACAGTGATAATCGGGCTGATCGGTCCGGCAGAACTTTACTTAGAAAGTTCCGAATCCTGTGGAAAGTAATGTATGGTCGCCTTTTCCTACTTATCTCGTTAATAATCCATAAAAATCTATATTTTAACTTATCATGGTAACAAAACAATCCCAATCTGTAGGAAGATGCTCTGACCGAGTGGCCTTTTGCAATGCATAAATTATTAATCAGTAATTGGGTGAAAGTAGTCGAACCGAATGAGGTACCTTCATCAGGAGTCAGAATTTCCCGTGGATCACAAACCAGCGTCTTTTGCAGCTGGTTAAGACCGCGTCCCGGGAGACATTTCTCCCGCTGGGTGACGATATTTGGGTAGTTCATGACTTGCATGGTGAACTCCGCTGGATAGTGGAGGGCCTCGATGGTTGCCGTAAAAAGAAACAAGGCCCACATTGCGGAAATGTGAGGGGTCATTGTGGCGACTTTTGACGACTTCCGATTTCGGTTTACGTGGTGGACTGATGCTGATGCTCACGCCGTGCTGTTAGGTCGCACAACCTTTAATCCCGCCAATCCCCCATCGGTGATTGGCTCAGGCCGCTGCGGCCTCAGTAGCCAATGGGATGTCAGATCAGGCCAGCGCGTGACCGGCGGGCGCCGATTTGGCGCGGGTTTGCAG